ATATATATATATATAATGAACTCATTTAAATCCCTGAAATTACAGCCTGCTTGCACAGAGAAAGTCATGTATCAGCATGATCTAGTAACCGCACCTTCATGATAATTGTTAGGGGATGATAAATTGTTTTACTCTATGTGGAGCCGAAGTTTTTGCTCATCCCTTCACTGCCCCAGGTGTGCGTTTGACACGCTTTTTCCTCTAGCGTCGTTTCATGTTACGGCCTCAGAGCTGATAAAGCTTGGGGGTCAAACTTGTTAAAGAGTTTTATTGCTTTTCACTAAGAACTTAATGAACGACACATGACAGGAGCACAAGATAACTGTTATGCAATTTTGTGAACTCACACAAAATACAAAAAATCCCAAGTACAACAAAACCTCAAATAACCTTAAAGAAACTCCAACCGTCTAAACATTAACCATTTTTATTATGTTTATTGCTTGGCTTTTATTGTCTCTAAGTTCCTAATTCTGATAAACCTGATGACTTAGGAACATTTAATCAGTGCAGTTTTGTCTGTTAAAGACAAGCAACAGTGATAAGGATACTTTCATACAGAAAATATTGGTAAGTGTTAAGTGGCAGTAACCTTGAATAACATATACACACTTTATTAAACAAAAACTAAGCCAAAATGGAACAGCTGTGAGTGAAGGTTCATGTCAGGACAAGCACAAAAACACCAAACAAGTCTGGCTTGTTTTGAAGGATTGCCAGGATAAAGCTTCTTCTCTCTAAAATAATTAATCATGGCAGAACATCTTGTATATTTACAGCTGAATGAACCACAAAACATGTAGAACAATGTCCCCACCAGCACAAAGACCTCAATTTTTTCAAGCAGAGTGGTGATGATTTGGGCACCTTGCAGTTATTGGTCAACAATGAATTCCTCTGTGCACCAAAGTATTTCAGAGTCAAATGTGAGGCCATCTGACAGCTGACGTTTGACCCAAACTGGGTCATGAAGAAGACTGTTGATAAAGGAGTTTCTACACGCTGTTGATTCAGAAGATGCATGTAGTTATTTTTTATCAGAACATCAAACATGTTACCTGATAAAATACCAGATCAGTTTAAAAGTTCTGAGAAAAATCTGAAAATGGTTTGTATTTTCATAAAATAATCATCTTATTCCATCTTATTTATTTGTCTGAATGAGCTAGCTGAAAAATATCTGTTTAAAATGTTAATACAGATTTTAATGTGTTTAAACAAACCAGTAACGTAATAATTATTGGTAACTTATAATAAAAACAGTTTGTGGTGCATTCCTGCCAGGTCTGTTCTGCTTCACAGTTCTGTAAACTTTCTGATGAAATCTGCTTGCATTCCTGCACATACACAAACTCGTGAGGGCTTAACCTTGGCCCTGTCAAAGTGGCTCATGAATCAATATCTTTTTTCGCCCTCTGTGTGTGTTTTAACTAAAGCCTGTGTAGGTTTGGGCTAAGATCTGACTGTGGTGTAATACTGGATTACCTGAGCGGACGTTTAGGTACACTGTGGTGGGGATTTAACTGGGGTAAGCCTTTTGCTGTGGAAACTTAAGGGCTGTTTCCACCACAGTTTTTTATGACTTAAAGACCACCTGACTTAAAAGCAATAACACGGGCGTTAACATATTATTACTTTTGTCTGCAAAAGCAGTCTGAATAGTTAGATGGTCTGAAGTGAAACAATTTAATTAGTCAGTCGTTAAGCTTTTTTCAAACACCGACTTGCATTGTTGGCTTTTTTTCTCACAAAAATGCAGCATTACAGCTAAAACTCAGACATAAAATTAAAATATGCCAGTTGTCCTATAATTTCAGACCTGGACTAAATCATCAGCAAACATCCCAAATACAAAAAATAAAGTGTAAATAGAATAAATATTTTTTATGTTTGTTTTATACAATGTTAGTTGCTACAGCCAGGAGATAATTTGACAAAAGATTATTTTATACTACTACTACTACTACTACTACTACTACTACTACTACTACTACTAATAATAATAATAATAATAATAATAATAATAATAATAATAATAATAATAATAATAAATCTTTAGATGTTTAACTTCTATTTTAAATGATAAATAAAATAAACTCCAAACCTCAGATAAAAGCACAAATCCAGAAAATTCATAGAAAAGAGTCAGTTCAACTTCTTTAAAGTCAGTTTACACAGTAAGGCAGATATGAAGCAAAAAAAAGGTTATTTTAATATTACCTTAATCGTTGATCTCACTTCAGCAAGTTCTAACTAAGCAAAAATAAATATTAGCAGGTTTTATTTCAGATTAGGCATTTTTGTTACAAGATAACTACAAAACAAAACAATAAATTACTTATATTGTGATTTCAAAAGTTTTGTTGCTTGTTTAAAGTTTTGTGTTGTTTTCCTGTTGCAAAGGAAATGGTTTATTGTTTTGTTTAAAGCCAGTATCACAGTTTGAAGGTGCCAAGAATGCAAAGAAACAAAAATGTAATAATTTAATAATGAAACAAGATTTTAAAAAAAACTGACATAGCAGCAAAAACAACCCACGGAGACACTGAGGAGAAATGGAACAGGTATGAAACACAATGCCAGACTGAAGAGGAGTGAGCAGAGTGGAGTCACCTGAGACTGATGACAACAGGGAACAGGTGTAGGTGGGCGTGGCAGGAAAGAGGGGCAGAAGCTGACAGGAAAAGTCCTGAGAATCACAGGGAGGCAAAGAAACATACTGAACACAAAGAAAACAGAAACATAAGAGATTAAAAAAATCTCTAAATGGAAAACTAAACATTGAAATACAGATCATGACAGTCAGCTCTCATACTGGTTACATATTAAACTGGACGTCACGCTTGGTTTTATGTTTTTAGAAGCAGCTTATAAAAATAGTTAACTTGGTCGTTTCTCTTTTGGTGTTTTGGACTCTAGTCACGTTTCTGCTGCAGTGACTCATCCCTCACGTCACGGGCCTCTTTGGCTTGTAGGTCAGAGGTCAAACGTGTCATCGGGCAACAATCCAGTCCTGTACCAGAGTTGTTTCACACCGATGCATCTTTATAGTTAAAACCGAGTCAGTAGAACAAAGTTATTGAGGATCTGTGAAACCAAATCCTTCACAGATCTGCAGCTCATCTCCGGTCCTGCTTCCAGCCAAAGACAATCTGACACCCTGATGGCTAACAGAAGTTATTTTAACTACACTGTAAAAAAATAACTTGTAAGATTTACTTGTAAAAATCCTGTAAACGACTTGCACTAACGTTTGGTAAGTAAATTTAAATGCTACAAATTCATGTAATATTTCCTCTCATCATGATGTTAAGAACATAGTTAAAGATTTGTAAAAAAAAATCAGGTAAATTTTACTTAATTTGCTCAATTAAATCTTGTAACGTATACTTGATCAAATTAAGTCAAATTTACCTGATTTATTCACAAATCTTTAACTATATTCTTAATAACTTTTACTAGATAATGATGAGTAAGTATTACATGAATTTGTAGCATTTAAATTTACTTAACAAACATTAGTGCAAATTGTTACGAGGATTTTTTTCTAGTAAATCTTACAAGTTCTTTATTACAGTGCACACGTGTCAAGCACAGTATGACAGCATGACACCTCACAGCTACATAGAGAGGTGTAGCTCATGTTGTAGTTCAAGACTTCACCACCAGGTGGTGGTTTTGAAGAACATTTATTGGATTCTTCTTCATGAACAACACAGACAAAGTGAAACTCACAGGTCTTATTAATGACTAGGCCTACCACTCTCACTTATGGTAACTTCTGCTGAACGGTTTAACACAAGTTAACAAATAATGAACACACAAATTAAAGTAACTCAACAGGCTAATTGCTGAAATTACAATGTTAACCAGTTCCCTAAAATGATTTAACAACAACAAACATGAATCCTACCCACAATCCTCCACTGCAGTCACATGACAAACAGCCAAACACAGCAGAATACTACAATATGCATTTCCTGTTCCCTGACAACTAAATATCACCTACATTACGCCATCAAACTGTTGCACACCAACAAATGTATTCAAGCAAAAGAAACCAGACAACTTGTTTTATTTCGACCATGTCTTGTCCTCTCCTTGAAAAGTGAAGGAAGGGAATGAGGAGCAGCAGCCTTTGTGTGTGCATGCACCCTCAGTTTTAGCCCAGAAGAGTAGAAGTTACTTAATATATTCATGTTTATGTGCTGTCCAGAAAAAATACTTAAATATTACTGGTAAAATAATATTAGCATTTACTTTATTTGTACAGTAATATTGAAATATAATACAATTCATATTGTTTATTTAGTAAATTCTAGTTGTTCAGAAATTTTGGTATTTTTTTGTTAAATTTAAACGAATAATTAAATAAATGTTACTACACCCAAAAATCTTTTTTTTCAGTGTACTGAATATTACTGATGACGTTTATAGACACTTATTCAGTCATCACTTCTAAATGCAGCATGAGCAGAAACAATGAAGACAAAATGCAGCTCATGATATAAAAGTGTCTCCGTAGGACTTTAACCTTTATTGTGGTTAATGTTTACCTCAAAATGTACCAAAATATATCATAAACCACTGGACTGATTTTAGTAAAACTCTTAATCTGATGTAGATATAGTCCACAACAATAACATCAACCCAGTTCATGATGATCATCACAGCTTATCAACCTAAACTGGAACTAATACGACTATAAAGTTTTACAGATATAGAGGTAAAATTTGAGATGGGCGTAGCTAAGAGTCATCCTTATCACATTCCCTGAGTGCTAACAAATCGTGTCATAACACTAATAACTCACACCTTTCTCAGCATAACATGATCGTAGTTCAAAACTGCCATAAAAGATGACAGGCGGTCTTCATTCCTTCAGAGAATCCTTAGTTATAGGATGTTTTTGAGGTTAAAAAATAGTGACGCACACAAAAATGACCCAAACACGTTATTCGGTGGGGGGAAAATAGTTGCAAAGAATTTTACTGGTCAGATCAAGATCCAACGTAAATCCTAATGCCAGAAAATGATGAGGCGACACTTGTGTTTGCCTTTTTTTTTTTTTTGTATAACCTTAGGTTAAATTGGTTTCCTTTTCCCACAAGAGACCATTTTAGAGTGGTTCCCACTGAACCCATAACCAGTGAGGATGAGTCATGAGTACACAAGTGTTTGTTACGTTCACAAGCCAAAACGATTAAATGTGCTTCAGCAATCCGAGCGAGGATGATATGAATGTTTTACACTCATCTTCTGTTCGAGCAGTATTCTAAAAATAAAATTCTCTCTGGTCACCATCATACTGTGACAGGCTTTTAGCACAGTGCCAGTCCTACAAACCTCCAGACGGCTCCAGAAACTCCTGTCCCTCTGAGTCACAGGCTTTTCAGATGATTGACTCAATTTTCTGATGGATCTGCTGCACTTGATGAGTTTAAGCCTCTGACATTTGTTAGCTTTAACATCCAGGGTTAAACCAACACCAGTAATCTATTAAACTGTGCTTTGTTGTTTTGACCTGTTACATTTTGAACCCGGGGCTATTTTGAGATCGTTGGTCAGTATTGTACTTGCGGTGGCCTAATCTGCCACGTCCGGAAAAACTTGTGTTCTTTTATGTACACTTTATGTAATGTTTTCAACGTTAAAAATGTTTTTTTTCTACTTCAGTGTGTTATTTTTCAGAGCTTCACCTTCAAACTGCACCATTTTATCTTGTTTTGTATCAGATGTGGCTTCCTGCCAAGCTGTGCTGCCACTGTCAACATATCTGTTCATGGAAGGATGTTTTATCCACATCTAAGTGAGCTGAAGGGGATATTGGGCCAATAACATAATCTTAAATATAGAATATTTCCAAAGAATGACTCTCCCAAAACATATTTCCATTTGCACATAACCAGGATATACAGAAATGTATACAAATACAGAGGCTATCAAGGGCTCACAAACAAAAGTACATTTTGATTTATAGTCTGTACAGAAGCCTTAAATCTTATATTTAAATGCAAAAACTTTGATAAAACTATGATTTCAAAATCAGAAAATGTTTGACCTTGTCTTCCATGTAAATATAACTATGGATAATGTAAACACCAGCTACAGTCATTTATAAATAGAAAAAAAAAACTCCACTGAAACTCAAGAGTCTAATGTTGTTGATGTTTTATCCAAGTCATTTATTAAAAGAATAAAAACATATTTCATTATCATGGCTATAAAACAAAGGGAAAAAAGACAAAGCATTATTGTTTTGATGTTGTGACTAGATACAGCATGTTTTGGTTTTTGGGTTTGTTAAATATTTGTAAATTTAATCAAGGTCAGGAGAAGCTCTGCAGCTTGAAAAACTGTCCCACTGCTTATACTGATGTAAGAACAAAAATATGAAAAGCGTTGTGAGCGTGCTAAAATATATTAGAAAATGAATGTGTGAATAAGAACACATTGCATAACCGAGATAAGGTTAAACATATACTCTTAAAATACTGCACAACTTTTTCAGCTTTTTGTTCAGCAACAGCTCTCTCATTTTTACAAGCTGATGTTTCATCCTGAATTGTTATTCAGAAAGGTTCAGACTAAATAATCATTATGAAAACTGATCATTTTTTTAATCCTTTTTTTTTGTTGTTACGCCTTTGGAATAATTGTGAACAGTTCATATCTTACCTGCTGCAGATCGCTTTTGAACAACCTTAATTTGGAGAAACAAAGTTCAATTTTGACTTGAATTGATGGACTTGCTTTAAATATTGCGTAAAATGGATTGCTACCATTTTAAAATAACTCCAGTCTCAAAAAATATCTAAGCTGTTTGTTGTTAAGACAATTTATACATTTTAAAACCACCAGCTGGAAGTGCTACTGCTAGCTGCTTGTGCCATTTGTCCTTGCAAATGCCTATAAATTCTATGTAAATTGTTGTGAAATTGGCCGTGATGTAAAAGTATACAAAATCGTGAGGTAGTTTTAAAATGGCAGCAATTTATTTTGATCTCAGCCCTGCGTCATAATCTTGTCAGAATTCTTTTTTTTTTTTTCTTTAAACTTACAAGTAGATCAAAGAGCTATCTATAGCAGGTGAGATACTAACTGCTCACAAACTTTCCACAGAACTCCTCTTCAAGTTCTGAACTGTTTTTTATTTTGAGAAAATGAGAAAGAATACCCAACAGATGATGTCACCGATGAGTATAACTGTTTACGCCCTCGACTCTGTTGTCCTAGAGGCCAGCCACTTTTCTCTCATAGGACCTATTTAAGCTCTAATCCCAGCTGAGGTTAACACTCACCTGTGCATGTAGATACTTTAACCACACAGAGCTATAACTGGAGCCCCCCAGGCAGTTCACAGCTTTACTCAGTGTCCTGTTGTGACCACTTGTTTTTGTAGCATTAATCCTCCCCTCTTGTTTTTCTTTCAGTAACCACCTCTCACCAGTCCACTGCAGGCCAGATGTTGTGAAGTATGTGAGCTTTTCTACATGAGCATACAATAAATCATTTTGATTTATTTTTTTATTTGACTGGGTACATTTTTGCTGCCATAAAAACCTATTTACATATGTTCATTGTTTTTATTGATAATAACAGTAAAGACTATGGAACATAAGATGTTAAATTTTCTTAATCAGATTATTTTCTCCCCCTGCAGTTTTCTGGATCAGACCATTAGCTCAGCAGTGGAGCAGCACCTCTTTGAAGTAAACCCTTTAGTAGATCAACTTTCAGAGGCCAGTAAGTTGACCACAGGTCCCTCAAGAGTGACGCTAACGGTGCGACAGAGACGTCGGCACCAGCGAGAGCAGCAGGAGGAGGGCTTAAGACCCAGAAACAGGTACAGGCTGTCAGGAAATGTTACCAGCATTGAACAAATGGGAATTCATTTTTTTAACTACAACACTGAAATGAACTGCTGAAAACATTCATATAAGTTTTATTTTTCTGTTAACTTAATGTTTTGTTAGAATAAAAAATAACATAGGTCGAAACATTTTCCTGTTGTAAATCAAAATAATAAGTTAATTTCTTAAGATGCAGAAGAAAGTTATGCATCATTAGAAAATAATATTTATCAAAATGAAAAAGAAATTGTGTAAAATCAAGAACATTCTAGAAAGAATTTCATTGAAGTATTTTGTTGTCACTGAGCAAGGAGTACCTAAATTCCCACCCATTTAGGTTTAATTTACCTAAATGATAACTGTCTTTCTTAACAATAAATATTTGTTTATGTTATAACATCTCGGAAAATTTAAAAACTTTGTCTAATTTAGGTCTTGTTGTTTTTAAAACTATCCTTGTAAACATGGCACCATTTCTAGAAAAGTCTTCATCCATCTGGAAAACACAGAAAAGTTCTCAAAATGCTGTAGGAACTATTCCAGTCCTCTGTGTGGCGCTAATGCTGCAGCAAAAGCACACCAAAAACAGGAAACAAGGTGCCGAGCATGTAAAGCTTCAATGGTGGGTGTGTGTGAACTGTAAAACACCTCAGGTCATGAGTTAGTTTAAGGTGAGGATATGACAACATAAGCTTCAATAGGCTGGGGTTTATTTGTCTACATATTATTTATTTATTTATTATTTACTCTGGAACCTGTTTTCATAAAATACAGCTTTGGGCTCCTAAAATGGCAATTCTTTGTGGATGCAAGGCTGAAACATTAACAAAACTTAGGGTCAAAAAGAAAAAAAAATAAGAAGGTCCTCTGGATGGTTCTTTAGTGAAACGTTCCATCTCTCCTCCAAGAGACTTCTTCAGTCTGATGAGTTTCAGGTGAACTCAGCCTTATAAGCTCTGTTTATTCTCTAAACATGAGGTCCCAGTGACTTTCAAACCCCAAAACACGTTACGACAAATATTAGTTCACCCCACAGATCCAGTTCCCCAGCAAAAACAGAGTAATATAGTATATGCTGTTAAGTGTCAGGAGGACTGTGATCAGTCATACATCAGGGAAATAAAACAGCCACTGTTCAAAAGAATGAGCCAGCACAGACGAGTTACATCATCAGTTCAGGACTCTTCAGTTTACACTCATCTACAGGCCAGCGGTCACTCTTTCAGGGATGAAGATGTTCTCATCCTTGATAGAGAGGAACGTTGGTTTGAGAGAGGAGTAAAGGAAGCCATCTTTGTGAAGAAAAACCATCCACCATTAAACAGAGGTGGAGGCCTTCGTGTCCAGTTGTCCTCCTCCTACAACGCTGTTATTGCAATTATGACTCAGCCCCCTGTGAGCAAAAGGTGTGAATCAGGGCCCCAACGATACCGAGATGATGGAGCACATGACCCTCTATGAACAATGGAGCTAATCAAGCCTATTGTTAGGCGATGGCCCTCTTTTGCATATGACTAACCTGTTTGTCCACTATGTGGAGGCAGTGCTGGCTGAGTTCACCTGAAAGTCATTAAACTGAAGAAGTCTCTTGGAGAAGAGACGAAATGTTTCACTAAAGAAGAACCCCCCCAGAGGACCTGCTTATTTTTTTTTCTTTTTGATTTTTCTACCTGGATTACTGAGATGCATCAGGACAAAACTCGGGGTATTCACAAAAACCTCCCTTGTATGAACAGCAGCTATCAGACTAAGCTCAAGCAAAAATATTCATAACCTCTATGTTTTTATGAAGTTTGTTACAAATAACTATGTTTATAACATGACATAGACTGGTTCAAAACAGGCTGCAAAAATGTGAATATTTACTGCACAGTAGTTTTGTTTATTAATAAATCTCGCCCTGAGCGCTTCTCCAATGACATTTCCAAATGGTGTTTGGTTAAAGAATCCATTTGGGAAGTTCTGTGTTCGCGAGCTTGTCCGCAGGTGATAAAACACAGTCATAACAACTGGTGTCACCCCAGTTAGCAGCTAATCCCTGTTGATGGAGACTTCAGGGAATCTGAGAGATCAGTGACATGTAGATTAGAGGACGGTCTTAGTCCAGGGGAAGAAAAAAAATGTCAAAAGGAGAGTGGACAGTAAACAGACTGTAAATAGAATTAGCACAAAAGCTAAACAGCACATTATCTGCTGGAGGTGGTATAAGTAAGGCATCAGGATGACCTTGGCTTTTGTTCTTTTTCATCCCCTGTCAAACTAATAAAGACAGAGCAAAGAAAACCCAGCCGAGTCAGATGGAAGACAGATGTCTAATTTCAGCCGTGTTTGCTTTCTCGTCCGAGAACAGAGCCGCCGCCTCCATCAGGGCGGACGCCAACAAGGAGAACGTATCGTCGAGCGGAGGCTGCAGCCCGGGCAGCTTGGGGGAGGAAACGAGCCGCCGGGTGGACTCGAGGGGCGAACAGGACTGTCCTGCTGAGCAGACCTCCAAACCCAGGAAATCAAAACACAACCCAACACTAGTGGCGCTCCCTGACAGCCAGGCCGCCCACACAGTGAGTCAGAACTGCTTTCATCCTCGTGGCTTTTCATCTTTGAGCCACACAACACAGCACAGTGCTTTCTGAAATCTGTCAAACTCAACATATTTGACTTTATTTTAATCTTTTCAAGAGCTGCCAGCACATCAACATTTAATAATGTTCTCCACTGATGCTCCCGTGAAAATGGAGCATTCATTTAAAATCCCTGTTTGTTTGTTTTATTTTTTTCGGGTTTTTTTTTCTTTTCACCTCCTTGTTATTGTGAATTATTGCCAACTGCAGTAAGAATCACTAAAGGGAGGCGAGCTGGGAAATGAGCGGAAGTTGTTTAGCATCCTAATGGTTCCCTGACACATAATCTGCAGCATCTTTTTCTAATTGTTACATATTAGGCCATTCATGAGCGTTCATTTAGTTGCAGCTTTTATCCACTTAAAGATCCGAGATCAGACGGATCTGAGCTGTGCTGAGTGTTTGGCTTCAGTGGGTGAAGTGATGAACAGATATTTAGCAGATTATTGGTTTTGCTTGTTTACTTTATATGTTTATTGTCCAAATTTAAAATCTTACATGACAGTATGTCAGTCCGAGGTTTGAGAATACTACGTCGGTGTGACTTTTTTTAATGTCAGTGCAGTCAAATTTTGCAAACTAAAAATAGCTGCAGTGGTCCTTTCATTTTCTAAATGGCTGTTTTAACATTCCTGCAAGAATAACGATTTATTGCTTAACTGATATCCTGTCAGCTGACTCAATTTAGGTGTTTTATCACCTATGTTCTTCAAAAAGTAGACAGCGTAAGATTACTGTCTGTCTCATCAAGCATGTGACAAATGTTTATCATCACCACACCGTCTGATGCCTTCTGGTCCCAATAAAAATCTCTATGCCTCTAGCTATGAGGGCAAGCATTGCTAAAAAAAATCTCATAATACGTAAATCTAAATCTTTTCTTTCTTTTTAAAAAAGAAAGAATGATAAACATGATTTCAGTCATTCAAATAGAAAAATCTCAGGTCTTTGCAAACGGATTCAAACAAGAAATTTCTGGAAACTTGGGGACCTTTCCATGCCTGCCCAGATAAGGCTGATGTGAAATCATTGTTTTGTTATTTTTGATGGATACATTAAATCAGTGGTTCCCAAAGGTGGGATCAGGACCCAAGGTTAGTGTGCTTAATATGGATCAAAGTATAGCATTTTGAATATTTGATCTGATACCAGTGTTTATCAACCAAAAATAGTTGGGGACACAGGTCTTTACTTCTGTTATTTTGTGGGTCAAAAGCTAAAGATTTTGGGAAGCACTGCTCTAAATGGTGTACAGCCATTGTGTTTAAATGGCAGTTTATTTGTGTCTGTTAGTTATTTGTATATGTTTATTGAATTAAAAGACAAATTAAAATATTAAAACAATAATTAGCTGTTAGCTCAAAGCAACAGGCTGGGAGGAGGGGAGTACAGGAACAGTAAGGCAGAAAAACGTACAGGTTATGACCAGTTTGGGTTGATTCACTTGGCCTCCAGGAGGCGTCCATGAATGCGAAGCTGCACGCACTGCAGGGTGTGTCATCCAGCTGACTCCATGATTTATTTAGCGTCACACTCCAGGAGCAGAACTAAAGACGCTCAGATCAGACGGGTAGCTCTTACCTCAGAGTGCAGATGACGCACAATAACAGCAATGGCTTGAGGTCGGACCGGATCTGCGGGTGCTAATGAGAACTCTGTGGGTCAGAAGTCGCTGAAGTCGAGCACGAGTTGTGAAATCTTCAGGAGTTTTAATGCTGCTGCTGCTAACGTGCAGCAAGGTTGCATCAGAAAACCTGAGGAGAACTCAGGTTTTGCCTCAGGCTCATAGAGTGTAAATATGCACTCAGTCATTTGCTCATTCATTTTTTGTTTAATCAGCCTTAAAATCTAAAGACAACCTATAACAGTTATCTTAAATAAGCTAATATAATCAGTTCAACTTTAAAGCAGATTTAAGTGGAGGGTTTTTTATGTTTACACTTTTCTCAGGTTTTGTTTGAGAGAACTTTTGTGAAATAAATTGCAGATGGATGAAATAAGTAGATTTTCATTTGCCACTTTTTATGAAATACCTTCAGAGTCTTGTTGTTTGTTCTCATGATATTGGCGATTCTTTTGTTTTCCCTTTTTTTAAATGGTTTAAAACTTTATCATCTTCTGAAACTATCATATTGATTGTCATTGTTACTATTGATTTGAAAGTGAAGAGTATAGCTCCATATTCTTAGTGGATTTGTAAAATGTATCCTGTTTTCTGTTTTGATTAAAAGGTTAAAGTTAAAATAACACTGGTAGAAAGCTCTCCATCAAGGTTTAACAAATAATCACTTTAATTTGTGTTGACTGACTGATAACAAAGGAAACCTATTCTAATCATTTGTTAAGATGTGTAAAGCTTGTTTCATTTCATATGTTAATGATTACAGTTTCAACACAGTCTTGTCTTTGCAGCTCAAAGAATGTGTTGCTGAAAGCTCTGCTGAAAACCACATGGATCCGCATCTCAAAGGGTAAATTCCTCACATCTCCACCTTTTACCGATAAAAACACAGGTTAGAACACTTTCTACATGACTGATGGTTTTGCATTAATAATCTACCAAACAGCTACCATGTCTGTTATCTTCAGCCCCATGTTTGACCTCCTCTGACATTCAGGTGCCTAATCTGATAAGAACTAAAAGTAAAGATATGTGTATTTAGTGCATGGGGTTCCCTCAGGCTTCTGAGGTAAACTGTGCAGGACTGTGTGATCTCATCTTGGTGTTCAATTTCTTATTTTGCTGAAGTGTTCTCTGTTTTGTTTTGTTGTTTTGTTTTGTTTTTTTCTAGGAAGGAGAGTTCCAGAAAAGCTGGCCTCAGATCTGCTTCACAGGTGAGTTTCCTTCCCAGACTCCGTTGTGGTGAGGGCCAAAGTTGGAGAAACAGAGAGCATAAATGCTCTGACTTTAACAAATAGCTCAGATTTTTCATTGTGATTTAACAAAGGTTTGGGGGAACACAAGCAGGGAAAAGTGGGGAGTAAATAAAAAGCAAGAAGCACAAAAAAGCATGCCAGAGGTCAAACTATATACAGAGCAGAGTGGAACAATGCTGTTTGTACGGTTCATATACAGTGAGATAAGTTAGAGCAGGTGAGGATGAGGGTTCCAGGAATCTGCCTGACCTGTGATGCAGAGGAAACTGAGTGACAGGAAATTAAAAGAAAAAGCGAGGCAGGTTGAAGACAAGCAGAATCAGCAGGAATAAATGAACTTTGACCCACTTGTTCCAACACCAGCGTCCTGACTGACTGACTCGCTCGTAGGTGGACATCTTCAAATATCAGTGCTCGTACCTGAGAGGGAAATTTCTCTTGATGGTATCTCATTTACCCGCTCTACATGCAAATAAACACGTACCAGCGTTCCACAGTCAGATGATGTTTTTCAGAAAACATCAGACTGCACAAAAAAAAAATCAATAGTCTGAACCATAGCATTCTCCAAACATTAATGTTCCAGTCACTTTAGTCAAACTCAAGTGGATTTATTTACACAGCTCTTGATAAGCTCACTTATTTAATCTAACCGACATGAGATGATATCAGCAACAAAAATAGCTAAAACCTTAAGTTTCTGTTTTGACTGTAGTTATTCTCACAAACTCATGTCACTTTCAGATGTTAAAAACATGGTGACAACGATGTGAGCTTTAGTGCTGCTGTGGGTGTGTGGGCTTAAATAATCAAGCCACCCTCCCCATCTGCTCGTCTCCGATTTTAATCCAGACCGACACCTGGCCACGCTCGGCCAGCGTGCCGAGCCGTTTTCCTCAAACGAGCAGATGGATTTCAGCTGCAGGTCGGTCTGCAGCTCTGCCACCACACCCACACCGAGGCCTCGAGCTGCCATCTGGAGACGGCAGGTCGCCGATCCCTGGGTGCAGGAGCCTCCCAGCTGGGTCGTAGAATCGCCTGGTGGGGGAACATGAAGATGGCACACATTTGTTTCCATTTTTGTTGTTGCTTTCGGGGGCGGGCGAAAAATAAGACGTTGTGAATTGTTTCTACGAGAATCATCGGCAAATGATTGATGCAAATGGATTTCAGGACAAATACAGTATGTCCTCCGGTTCATACGTCCAGCCCATTCAGTTCTGATCCTTAAACACACAAACATCTGGCTTTGGCTTGTTCATACCAGTGCGTCAATCTTTGTAAACTGATACACTCACACCAAAACATGTTGTACCTGCAATACCAGAAAACAGATATTGGGGAAAGTGATGTTTTGTTTTTCTTTTGCTCTTCTGCACGTGTTAGCTTGGCTGTCTTTAAAACCGTGATGACATTTCTAATTATGGAAATTTACTCTTACAATATTATTTTTAATGTAAAATTAATATATAACGTATTTTAGATTTTTTTTTTTTACAATATACCTGTAACGGCTTTTAGTTTGATAAATCCAAACCCTTTTTAAAAGCCCTCTGTATGACATAAACATGTCAAAATGTCTCCTTACACTCTATTATCTGATTTACAGGGTTACCATGTGCATGTTTGAGGTTAGACTCCAGGAAATAAATGTAAACAAATGCACATGTGAATGTCTTCTGAAGTCTTGGATGCACAGCTGCACCATGTGTTTATGTCTGCTCATGAAATCTGGTTCTTCACCACAAGTGAGACGAGTTTGCAGGAACCCTTTACTTAAGTTAAGAGTCATGTTTAGAGGGTGGACTTAAAGGGACAGTGCACTATTTCTGACCGGTCAGTATCTTACCTGCAGCAGAGAGAAATTGTTGTGAGGGAATCAAGCTAACTGGTAATTAGAAGCCAATTTAAGAGATAATTTCAAAAACAAGATTTGCCTGGATAAAAAAAAGTCATTTCAGCAAACACTATTGTTTATTAAATTTGCTGAAGGTATACATCATACAAACATCTAAATTCTATGTTCGAACACATTTAATGTGAAGAACCATAAAGAGTTAGGCTAATAATAAATCAGTAGCATAATGTAAAATTGATAAGAAAATGTTTTGAAATTTAAATTAGCTAATTTAGTTGTTTTTTGTCAAAGTAAAAAAAATTGTGTAAAATAAAAAAAAGACAGAGCACAATGATGAACTGGTGCAAAAAAGTGTTTGCATGCAGCCCTTCAAAATCTTTGAGATGAACTCTTCAATTTGATCAAAATCAAGTGGTTTCTCTAAGAAAAGGTCCCTCAAAAAGCTTTCTACGACAGGTAAGATATTTATTGTTTATCATCTTTAAACTTCAAAAGATCTGTACTGTCACTTTAAATCAAGAATCGGTGCCATCAAAAATAGGAACTGGGATTAAAGTTTATGTTTGTATCTTTGTCTTTCTGCTGCTTCAGCAAAACTTCAATTTCAGTATTTGTTTATTTGTGTGTTAGCCAATAGATTAATCATTGTCCAACATCCTCTCGTTCACTCAAAACCTATAACACACACACACACACACACACACACACACACACACACACACACACACACACACACACACACACAGCCATATCAGCCTTTCTTTACACCACCTGGCCCTCACCTCATGACGTAACCTCAATTCAGGCGAAGGAACACTTTGTGGCTGATTTTTCCCAGGAAGAGAGAGTGAACGTGTGTGTGTGTGTGTGTGTGTGTGTGTGTGTGTGTGTGTGTGTGTGTGTGTGTGTGTGNTGTGTGTGTGTGTGTGTGTGTGTGTGTGTGTGTGTGTGTGTGTGTGTGTGTGTGTCCATTTAAATTGTTCTTGAGCACAGCAGGGTGATAATTATTGACAGTAGATACAGTAGATTATTCAGTCTGCTGAAGCAAACAGTGTAAACACATCAAGTAAAAGTGAGCCATCAGTCAACAACTCTTTAATCAGTTTAACAAAGTTTTAATCTCTTGCTGCAGAAAGACAAAAGCTGAGCGATAATGTTTTTCCCTCTATATGTGTGTGTGTTTGTTTGTGTGTCCTTGTTTTTGCTACTTGGTGGGGACAATTTTTTCGGGAAAATGCAGCCTCGTGGGGACCAAATCCTGGCCCACGACTTCGGAGGCTGATTTTGTGTAGGGGGGTGGGTTTAGGACCAAGGTGTGAATAGAGTTTAGGTTAATTTTAGGGTCAGGAAGGTACCTGTGAGGTTAATTTTAGGGTACATGGTTAGGGTTAGGATATAAAATTTCCAGAAAATGAATGGAAGTCAATGGAAAGTCCCCACAAGGATAGAGAGACATAGTAGGTGTGTGTGTGTGTGTCTTCTACCAAAATATATCATAAATCAGTGGAAATATTTCAATGAAACTTGCAGAAGGTAATCATTGAATGAACTAGTAAAGTTTTGGAATCAATATGATTTAAGAATGAAATCAACATTTTTTTAAATTCTTTGCTAAGTGAAAAGAAGTGAAACACAGAAATGAAAGTGATCTCTTTATGAACAAAAACAAGGATCCTGTAGGATCAGGATGACTGGCAAAGGTAAACAACATGCAAAGCCGGTCTGCCAAAAAAAAAAAAAAAAAGCACAATACATCAAGAACCAGGAAGTAACCAAAAGAGGCAAAGAACTTAATGTTCTGAAGTTGTGATGAAAAACAGGTGACAGAGATTCAGGTCAGGCGAGTGACAAAAAAGAACTAATTAAATGAACAAGGGAAGTGAATTTTTGAAATATAACAGGACGTTTAGAGAAGCATAGAACAGGGAAATAAGATGAACACTTTCTAAACATTAAAATTTTTTTTATTAAAGATACAAGTGTAAAACTAAACAAGTTCTAACCAGTATAACCCACATTTGCTTTTCGGTGACAGACGGTAAAAAAATCCAGAAACAGAAAAATATTAATGAGTCGGATCAAATTTACTCTGAACTTTTAAAACAATTCCAACAGTGTTTTATTAATACAGCCGAGCGTTGTTTTATTATTTAACTGGTACATAATAAACAGTTTTCAGAAACATGTGAACATCCATAATTAATCATTTGTTCTTGATTACATGGTGATCGTTAGGATTTAAACTGTTGCGTAACAAAGATCATCGATGTCATAAAATTTTTTGATTAACTGCAAAATAAATTATCTTTTTAATCTAATTTGCCCAATGTTCATTAATTATTTAATTTTCATTAATTACTTTTTTCAATTAAAATATTAATCATGTGACAGAGAGTGATGGGCATGAACCAACAAGCTTTAAATGAACAAAGTCAACATGTTGGTAATGTTTGAGCCTTTTCCTGCTGAGTCACATTCAAATGTTCAAAATTAAGCAATAAAGAGACTAGTTATTAGTTTTCCTTGTTGCAGACACACTCTCTCATGTTTATGTGTCTTTAAACACGGCACTAGTCCTGTAAACAATTCATTTTTGCCGCTTCAAACTATTAGCTCATTAAATGAAATGGAAATATTAAAATGCCTTCAATTTACGTTACCTTTATTCAACATCAAAAACAAGATTAAAGGAAATTTACTTGATGAACTTACTTCAGATCTTTAAAAGTAGGATTCTACAGAAAGTATAGAGATAATTAACATCTTATCTGTTGTAGATGGCTCTTTGAACGACCTCAGTTTGGAGAAGTAGTTCAGTTCTGAGCAGATTAATAAGCTAACAGCTAATCTGAGCTCAAAGTGGTTCTTGAAAATGCAATTTCATACTTATTTACTTTGACAGTTATTTATTATGTGATTTTTATTATTTTTTATCACATTGAAAGTAATTGCAACTACAAATAGGAACGGCACCCCCAGCAGGAAGACCAAATTTTTGCCTGAATAATTATGAAATGTGACACTGACTGTGGCGTAAATGTTTATAAAACAGTGTTTGCATGAAATCACTGTGAAATGCTTTTGGTTGGAGATGTTTTAAGATGCTTCACTGTAGACAGGATCTGACTCAGACTAGCCATTAGCTTGTCAAGCTGGTCAGAATTAAACTCTGCGAAGAGATGTTGTTCAAAGAGTTATTTTCAACAGGTAAGATATTTATTGTTAATAACTGTACTTCAAAGTAAAATGTTTGGATTTGTGCATCACTCTGCTTCATGTTCAGTATGCAAACATGTGATTTTGTTTGGTTTAAAGAACATTGCTATTAGGTAAGCAAGAGCAGGTCATAACACAATAATATGTGCGCTGATGGATAACAGAAAAGACAAAAGGAAAGAGGAAAACTAATCAGTATTGACTTCCTGGAAGAAACATTCAAAGATTAGACATGACTTTCACTTTTTCTCTTGTGATCAATTTTGTTTCTTATTTTTAATTCTGTTTCACCTATTTATCAGCTAAAAGTTATAGATGTGCAAACATCAGCTTTCATAGGAGCCTGTTTCAGTTTTCACAGGGTGAAAGGCCGGTGCTTGTCCCAGACAGATTGCCAAACAATCCCAAAACAAACAGCCATCGACACGTGCACACACCCACACCTATACGGTCGAATAGGAGTCACACAGAAAGGCCTGGTCTATTCTGAGACTCAAAACATGTAAGAAAGGGACATTGTGCCATATTTTAGATACATCAGAAAACTTTTTAAAGAAAGGGATTTAATAATTCACCCTTTAGATTAGAGCTGATGTTATTTATTTGAAGGTTCATTGTTTTCCACTGCATCTAAATGCTGCCAAAACTGGTTACTGCCAGCTGTGGAGTCCTGTTTACGCTAATCAGCTCCAGCATTATAACCTCTAGAACAGCTCTGACCAGTCAGAACAAAGAACATCTGGGTGTGTCTCTGTGGCGGATGTTAGTGGTGGATCATATGGGTCTCTGTGGATTGACCTTGTTTTCCACAGATCCCGTCAGCCTGGTATCTGGGGGACTGGGAGAGGTCGAGGAGTAAACACCCTCAGACTCTTTTGTTGTCATTCTGAACATTGTTTTGTGAGATGAACATCGAGGAGTCCTGCATTGAGGGGTTGTGACATCTGCCCTCCTCATCACACACACACACACAGGCAGCAAGCACTTCATTAAGAACAGGTTCTGTTATTGATATCCTCACAGGAACTCAGGAACATTCCATTTTCTGTGAACATAATTCACGTTTTATCCAAAAAATACTGGTTAAAGCTCTATCATGCAAAGAAGAAGCCATAATTCAGCAACACAATGCTAAAAATCTGACTGTATTCCCTCCAACAGCAGTGCTGAACTGGCCTACATGCAGTCCAGACCTCTCCCTTGTAGAAAACACTTTGTGGATCATGAAATAAGAAATCCATCAAAGCACATCTGGGACTGTCAACAGCTGAAACTCTCCGTCAGACCAGAATGTGACGACGTGTCTTTCCAAAAACTCCAGCAGCTAAAACGATGAGGGGACGCTTCACGGCCCTGTCTGAATTTCTTTGAAACGTGCTGCTGCCATCCAATTTTTTTCCCCCTAACCACCGTACAATTGCTTGGTTTAAATATTTGACATGTTTAACATTTCATCGTGAGTAAAATACGGGTTTGTGAAATTTACAGATCGTTTTCTGCTTTTATCAACATTTTGCACAAAGTGTCCTGATGCATGTCAGTAATCCAGGTAGAAAAAAAATCAAAAAGAAAAAAAATAAGTAAATTATAAATAAGTCAGGTGATGGGGCACATGACCCTCTATGAACAATAGAGCGAATCAAGCCTATTGTTAGGCGATGGCCCTCTTTTGCATGTGACTAACCTGTTTGTCCATGTGGAGGCAGTGCTTATAAGGCTGAGTTCACCTGAAACTCATCAGACTGAAGAAGTCTCTTGAAGGAGAGACGAAACGTTTCACTACACAAGGAATGCTTATTTTGGACAAAATAAGAACCTGCAGACACCAGTATTATGTAAGATGTAAAAAAAAAAAAAAAAAAA